TTTAGTTTGTGTGTAGAATCACATGTTTTGGAATGAAATAAGCATTTGAGCCAAAATTCTGAGTGCATAATCATAAAGCAATCTACTTCCCAAACTTATATGAAACAATGTTTATAAATGATGGAGAATTAATACTAAACAATGCCATATAGAAAAATTGGGATGGATAAACACAAAATAAAAAGAAATAGTAAACAAATAAAAGTTAAACTAACAGTAAAAGTTGAAACAAACAAACTAATACCCGTCTCAAAATATAACCCAAAAACAAAATAAATTAAAAGTTCAAAAGGGATCATCATCATCACCATCAACATCATCACCATCAACATGTGCAGAGGTCCCGGGATGACCTGGCATCTGGAGGTGCGTCCAAATGGTGTCAATGGAAGTGCTCATATGCTGCATCTGCTGATACTGGAGCTGCATCTGCTGGTATTGCATCATTTGCATGTCCCAGATGGCTTGATGACTGGGGTCCCAAGCAGAAGTGTCGATACTAGGAGCAGGTGGGAATGGCGGTGGTGGTGCCGGCCTGTGTGGCGGTGGTGGTGGCATACGGTGTGGCACCGGAGCAGGTGCAGGTGCAGGTGCAGGTGCATGGCGCCTCTGAGAAATGCTCTTGGACACAGAAGTGTCCGAAATGGGACCCATGGGCTCAACAAATATATCATTAGGGCGAGCCCTAACCCCTGAGCGTTCACATAACATGCTAACAAGGCAAGGATAATAGATTATGCTCTTTTTACGTGCACAAGCCTTCAAGCGTTCAAAAATAATGTCACAAATAGGTAGGGAAAAATATCCCTCATGCAAACATTTCAGGATCCTGACCCCCATTGTGGGAATTTCCGACCGTTGGCCGGAAGGGTAGATGTTGTGGCGCACAAAGCTCCACAAGATGGCAAAGTAGGGTGTCAATTTACCCTGAATGAGGACATTCTTTTTGGTTTGAGATGCAAAGGCAGTAGGATCAGCATATAAAAGTGTTTCAGCTGCGCTTTGCATGTCAAAATGGCATAACAGAGAAGGGTTCCAAGCAGAAGTGTCATGCACAGGTATGTGAAGGATTTCAGAAATAATAGAGGGGGATAGCACAACATTTTTGCCCCGAACCTTGATGGGCACATTTTCATTAGCTCTAACCTCCTCACTAGGGAAAGCAGCATAGAATTCTCGCACAACAGACTCATTGTATTTTTTATAGATGCGAGCTAGAGGTAATATGTTACGGTCCCTAAGAAGGTACTGGACTTGAAGAAGTCCAGCGGTTTGGATGGAGGGACTAAGATCGAGGTTACGCTCAGTAACCACAGTGGCTGTGAGCATGGCCTCTTCCGACTGAGGTGCACTTCCTGAAGAAGATGCACCCTTTTTCTTACCGGTTCTAGCTCTAGACATCTAAAGAAAATAAACCAATATGCACAAAGCAAGAAAACAACAAAATTCATGCCACAATTCCCAAACATGCAATATGCCAACAATTTAACCACAATGCCAGAATTGCATTTACAAAGCCAAAATTTCAACCACAATTATGCATAAATTCAACAATTCCACAAAATTAATCACAATGCACAATTATGCCAAAATTCCAAAATGTAAACCACAATCCCAACATTCAACCACAAATGTAATGAGACAATAATAAACACAAATAACAACAATAATAATCAAATAAGAGATTGAAGTGAGAAAAACATACCCAATTGAGCAAAATCACACCAACACAACCACAAACCACAATCAACAACAAAAACAAAGAAAAACAAGTTAGAATCACGAACAAACAATAAGAAAAGCAATTAGATTAAGAAAATCAAAGGAAAACTCAAAGAAAAATTCGAAATTTACCTTGGGTGAACAGTAACCCTAACTGAAAATCCTCCAAAATTGATGAAAACACTTGAAATTTCAAGGAATAGAAGCCAAAAACGGATTCTACTCGAAAAATTAAGTGAGAAAAGTGTGATTTGGGTTAGGATTAGGGTGGGTTGTGAGGGAGGTAGAGGGAGGGAGAAGAGAGAAAACGAAGAGGGAGAGGGTTCTATCGCTGGGAAGAAGAAGAAGTGAGGAGAGAGAAGAGAGAAAAGAAAAGAAAAGGAACCGGTTTTTAAAAAAAATCGCGACGAGCGACCGGTCGCGAGTGAAAAGCGACCGGTCGCTTTGAAACAGATTCAAAAACAAAGAAATTCGCGAAGCGCGACCGGGCGCAAGGCAAAAGCGACCGGTCGCTTTTAAACAGATACAATTTTTCTCAGAAAACCAAAATAGCGACCGGTCGCTTGGCAAAAGCGACCGGTCGTTTTTAGGCAGAGTCTAATTCTTCCAAAATACCAACGAGCGACCGGTCGCAAGGCAAAAGAGACCGGTCGTTTTTACACATATTGAAATTTTTATTTTGCGCGACTCGCGACCGGTCGCAAGTGAAAAGAGACCGGTCGTTTTCTGGGTTTTTTATTTTTTATTTTTTTTTATTTTTTTATTTTTAAATATATATATTTTTTAGATTAATTTGGGACTTACCTTCCCAACTCAGTTTTGCACAATAGCAGGTACATCAATGAAGTGGAGCACTTCATCTTCTTGATGCAAAACATTTTCGTGGTAGACTTTCAACCTATGCCCATTAACCTTCGATTCATTTCCCGTGCTAATATGTCGGATATCAACTGCACCATAAGGGTAGACATTAGTAATAATATACGGGCCCGTCCAACGGGATCGAAGCTTACCTGGAAAAAGCTTGAACTTAGAGGTAAAGAGTAATACTCTTTGCCCTATTTCAAACGACTTCCTAATGATATGCCTATCATGAAACGCCTTTGTTTTTTCCTTGTAAATTTTTGCGTTCTCATAAGCATCATTGCGAAGCTCGTCCAGTTCGCTCAGTTGTAACCTTCTGATATTTCCTGCTTCCTTCATGTCGAAGTTGTACTTCTTAATTGCCCAAAGGGCCCTGTGTTCAAGCTCGACAGGTAAATGACAAGGTTTACCAAAGATTAAGCGAAATGGAGACATACCGATTGGAGTTTTGTAAGCAGTTCGGTAGGCCCAGAGAGCATCGTTAAGGCGCAAAGACCAATCCTTTCGAGTAGGACCAACAGTCTTCTCTAATATATGCTTCACCT